AAAAAAAAAAAAAAAAAATCGATATCGCACAATTCAAAACTATATCGATATTCAAAAATATATCATTGGAGAAGCCTATAAATTAATAATTAAAACATAAACTGTTATTATTCTTTTTCCCGTTACTACTAAGTAAGGATAGTGATTATACAAAAAAGGAAAGGGCATGTCCGAGTTAGGTGTCTTCAAAATCCGTAGAGGCCAATTAAAAGACGAACTAACAAGATTTGTAAGTCATTTGGAAAATGTTGACAAAAATAAAGAAATTAGTCAGACAGAGTTGAAGTGCCGCTGGGAAAAGATGGGAGATATTTGGCAAGAATTTGAGCAAGTCCAAGGTGAAATCGAATTTTTACTAAATTATGAAGAAAACGAAGAAGCGACGACCTACTTCGTTGGAAAGCCTGTTTTAAGGCTCTTTCAATGTGCGAAGACTTAATATACCTACGAAAGAAGAAATGAGGAAAGCGAAAAAAACGGTAAAGTCGACGTTATGGTTAATAATGAAGCAAGTAACATGGTTGCTCCGGTTCCATAAGTGACTACAAATAATGGTAGTGGATCTTGTTGTAATAATTCTAATGCACCAATACAATTATCAGCTATAAGTATACTGGCATTTTCGGGGTGATGGTACAAAYAAACGATCGAATAAGCGATGTTCAAAGGTTTTTCCGTTTGCGCGCATCGTTATCGGGTAAAGCGGCTCAAGTCWTCCAAGGCATAGAGACGACCGTCTCCAATTATAGCATTGCTTGGRAAAGTTTGATTGCCAGGTATAATAATAAAAAGGTGCTTATTCAATCGCATACTCAAGGCTTGTATGAGTTATCAGTGATAACCGAAGAATCCAGACAATTGCGTAAATTTATTGATAAATTAAATTGTCATATAAAAGCATTGGAGTCRTTGGGGGRAAATCTTGGTGGCTAGGTATCTATGTTAGTTCATTTAATTACTAGCAAATTATATATTATCACCATAAAAGCATAGGAAACAATTGCTCCGAAAAAAGAGATACCACCGATTTAAGTACTAATACAATTTTTGGAAAAATGCTTTAAAATAGTAGACACTGTTGAATCGGTATCACAAATGAGTAAGAAATTCAATAAAAGATATCCCAAGAAGAAAACGTATTTATTCGTGGCTACCAATATGACTGAATGCTACGATTGTAAATTACCACATACTATTTATAAGTGTCTTTCATTTCTAGTATTACCAATACCCGACAGAATAAATAAAGTAATAAGTGCATTAAAGTTGTGCAAAATATGTATACGTTCACACAACGACAAAAAAATGTTCAAAGTGCCATAAAGCCCACAACACGATGCTACATTTCAATTTGACAAAGGAAAGTGAAGAATGGTTATCTTTCCACCTTCCATCTTTCCAAATAATTAAACGCCTGTGGACTAACTTATTCATAAATTTCGTTAATTATAAAGTATACAGATTTTTCACACTTTTATTTGGTATCTTTTGACCAAATATAAAGTACAGGTTTAAAACGACATCATTAAAGAAATTCTTTAAAATGCAAAATTTAAAAATTGGCTTTGAAGTGCAAAYACTCCGATAAATACACACTCATTTGTACCAAATAAGTAGCTAAACTCTATAAACAATTTAGAATATTAATATTATAAACGATGAAAAATTGTAAAATCAATACATCAACTAGATACGTAGATATGTTTAACATTAATTGTGTTCATTGTAATATTATTTAACCATAATTATTGGGAATGTAGGAATGTTTTGTTGATATGTTCTATAGTACTTGTRCATCATACAAATGAAAAACAAATAAAAACAGCTCCTAGCTTAATTATTTTCTTCAAACATGATTCATAATTATGATATATATTTGAAAATTGATAGATAATATATAAATATTAACTCAGTTAAAATAACTATAAGCCAACGAGCTGATTAAAAAATAAATCACGCTCTGGTTCTTGYAGCCATTTTATTTGAAATAACATTATATTTAGTAATGCATTTTGATATTACATTATTTCATATGAAAAATTTCTAAAAAATAAAAACATGTTTACGACAACAACCAACTCCCAATGAAAACTCGTATATAATAAAGAAAGAGTTATTTTTATCGTACGGAAATATTAGGTACAACGATAACCAGCTATGTGACGGAGAGAGGACCTGCAGCCGTATCTTGTTGGTTTTCGCCGTTTCACCATCATCTCACAGGAAGGTACATACCACCCCTTCGCAACAATAAGATAATTTCAACTCATGATGGATTGATCAATACTTACTGGTTAAATCCGATAGCGCTATACCCGAATGATTGTCTGCTAAAAGCAAACAACGCTTGTGGTCCTGTTCCAATTCACTTATTCTAGCTTCCAAATGGCTGGTAATTTTGCTCAACTCTTTTACGGCTCCGACATTCTCCATGAAGATCCGATCCTGCGTGTGAAAAATGTATGTTTAATGTAATATGTTTTAATATCAATGGATTGCGTTTAATAATATATACGAGTAAATAAAATAGGTCCAAAGATGTTACCAGAAATCTTTTTAAAAGTATACTAAACCGCCAAGTGTCTGACCATGAATATTTGATAACTTAATGATTTTTTGGAAAAATATTGACGGCTTTAAGAAAAATTAAAATTCATTTTTGTCTTAAGACCTGTACCAAAATAATGAATTAAATAAGTTGACAGAAAATATGTCTTGAAGTTATCCAGATGGTTCGTCCCATTATTTCTGGTGCAGCCATCATAATTTCAAAGTCAACCAATTCAGACGAGTTTTGAACTTTACGACATTWCAGTCAGTAAGACCGAAAGGAYCTATTCCGCGCTAACGAGTTATTTTTAACCATAGTGCAAATACTACACGCTCAAGTGATTCGCGATTTAAAAAAAGGTTACTGCTATTTCAGACGATGTCATTTCATATACCTACGTTTGTCTCATACAATTATATTTTAACATTTGAATTATGATTTAAAAAAGTGTCATTCATTTTACTTTTGAGTTCTGACCTACCTTGTATAAGTGCCATATCAATTTAATAAAGTTCAAAAATTATAATAATGTATTCAAAATACTAYGTAATTAATTATACATTATTAAGATACATTTTTATTCAATAGTCACTATTATTATGAGTAAGTTGTCGTCCGTAAATAAATGTCCGATAAAATAACAATATTGCCAATATTGTGAAATAAAATAAACATAGGAAACAATAATTAATATTGCATACAAAAATACGACTGTATGTTAATAATTTAAAAACAATTAAGGATCCAATAGTGAAACTTTTTAATACATAAAATTCTTTAAAATCTATATGCAAATAGTTATGTTTAAATGTATCTTAAGATTGGAAAAATAAGGACCTCCCTAGACTATACCCAATGGAAATTCCTATGCCATATAAAAACAAAATTATGTTATCTAATCGACTATAGCGCACTTTGTTCACGACCARAAAGTCGTCATACACAATTCCGTTGGGCAGCGCTATGCCGCCGGCGTTGGTGACGGCTTCTGGCAGAACTGCTTGCACTTCCTGTGCTATGATCCCGGTGTCAGCTTCCTTCAAAGATAACCCAAACAATGATGAAAATTCCGGCTTATAGCTAAAATGAACAACGTTAATTTTCTGCACGTTCCGCAACTGCTCACTTGTGTCGCACTATTTTAAAAATAYATAAATAATTTATTATAAAATTAATATGGTTATAGCTAGGATCCAACTAAATGATATAAACTGCACAAGAGCAATGAACTTTTTCTTCTTTTAATTTTAAAATGAGTACTTGCTTATATACATTTAATTATTGTATTACTAATATATAACTCATCTTAAAATACAATTATGAAGTAAAATCCCTGATGGTCTATATTCCTCACTAAAAATTTGAGACGAAATTATTCGTTTCATTACAATATGGATTGTGATAAAAATACGGTATCATTTATTCTACCTGTTCTTTAAATAATTGTATATTTTAATATATTATCTTAAGTTTTTGAAGGTGATTTTTACAAAATATTTTCATGACACAGTACATTTTTTAACCAACAGTAATGCTGAACTCAGTTTTTATTGGTAGGCAAAGTACAAAAATGAATAACCCAGAGACACCTAACCAAATCACGTCAGTTTTTGATATTCAGGAATATTTATATTTGTTTCTTCTTATATGGATTATTTTTATACATCACAATCATATCCTACCTCCATCCACAACCACCCAACGACCCACCCATCCACTTTCAAAGGTCGGACAGTTGCCTTACCTAAACATATGGGCGCCATTGTTAACCAATTGCAAACTCTAATGTTACATAAACAATCCTAAAATGTGAAATTGTTTGGCAAATTGCATTTATTGATGAATACCCATTTTTTTCTTTTAAATTAAGACGTTAACAGTAAAAYACTTAATCATAGTTGCTTTCGTGTAAGACTTAAATTTATCAAGAAATATCAATTTAACTAATAAATGTACCTTAAATAATAAATTTATATATAAATTCGTTTAAAAGTATTAGATAATACTAGCTGAACCCATGCACTTCGTAGCCCGTTAAAAATCCTACCTCTTATATGGTTCATACTGTGTGTTAAATTCATTTCATGTGATGATACTAACAGTATATTTTTATACATAATGATAGATAGCGGTTAAAATATATTATAATCTTACAACGATATTCAATTTCAAATATCATTATGTAATTTTCTTCGTTTTATCAATATAATTGACAAATATTTAGGCATATCACTTTCTGACTTAGTCTGTCTTCTGCCTATATGTCTAATAAAATTCTGTACCAAATTTTGTCGCAATCTGTCCAGCTGTTTAAGAATGTATATACTATATAGGACAAACAGATATATAAATAGGTATCTATCTATATAGCTATATCTCCATATATGTATGATGTATGTTTATCATTTTTTTAAATGCTTTATAATATAATATATTATGCATAATTTATACGTTTTTCCAATAATCACGCTTGGATAAATATTGCAATTATACTTCCATCAAATTTCGTCGCAATCAGTCCACCAATTAGAATTGGAATGCATAAAAGATAAACAGACGGAAATCCATTTTTATTTATTTTATTTTCATATGAATTGCTCACTAAACATACTAACGTTTGTGATTTATTAATTAGATTAATTAAATAGAAAACTTTTAGTTATTCTTTACTTGAATTAGGCAGCGATGTAGATCAAATTACAACCCTTATGTAATACAATTTAAAATAGTTTTAAAACAAATTTATCTTAAATGTGAACATCGAAATTTAATTGGTAAAATAAAAAAAATTAAATAATTTAAATGGTTGCCATTATTACAAAAAAATGTTATTATTATTATTTAGCTAACGTACCWGCCTATTGATACTGTATAAATCAGAACTTTATTTAATTTGTTAATTATCTAACTGAATTCTTAAATTCACTTGATTCGTTAGACATGCCACCATACATTCTAACATTGAAATTTGGCATGCCCATAATAATTCTTCTACGAAACATCAATCCACCGCGACTCTGCAACGGTACCAGGCTTTCAGTGAAAAAGTTGATGAACAACATTATCGAAGCTTTTAAATGTTTTAAACGTAAAGTTTAAAGCTGAAGATGTACTGTTGCCACGCATCCCAATGATTCCATCAGATATGCTTTTTGAATTCAAACGTTTCCATTTTCCAGTGCGACTCGCCTTTGCAATTACCATCAACAAATCATAATGACAACCGCTACAAGTGTGAAGGCTGAATATGGAAAATGCATGTTTCTTACACGGATAGCTGTAATGGCATGTTCAAGCGTCGGAAAACCTTCTGATTTATTTGTGTGCGCRCCAGAAGGAGGAACAAAAAATGTTGTTATCCAAGTACACTTCAATACATATCACTCAATTGAATACTTGAATTGTCAGACTTTCTCGATAAAACGTATAAAATAACATAATGATAAACTAAATTGTATATCATTGTAAAATTATTACTTTGTGTACAAAAATCGTTATCTATCTATATGTATAAAAATATACTGCTAGTATAATAACAGCTAACGAATTCAACACACAGTTTGAGACATATAACTTATATGATATAAGAGAGATAGGGTTTTTAACGGGCTGCGAAGTGCACGGGTTCAGCTAAGTATTTAATAATAGTTGGATGCAGTAATGAAAAATTTTAAAGTATTATTCAATTCACAATTCACAAAGTAGATAACCACATTATGAAAACAATTACTCAATATCAAGTTGGACTGACCATTAATTAGTAAAATATTGTTGTATTTACAAAGTGTTAAAAAGCCTTTTCCATTTTATGAAGTTGACAAATTTTCATGAAGTGGCTATGATGGAATGTATATCATAACTTCACAGGATTTGAGAAT